AAATGCTGGCCAGAACAGACGTTAGTGAATCATAAAACTAGGGGTGTGCAAAAAAATATTTTTGGCCTGATTCGGATTCCACCGAATTGGGCAGAATCAAGCTGGCAGAAAGACTCTTGCATGTCAATTTCAGCAGTAACAGAAGTTTGGGGAGTCTTTGGGCCAACCTAATGTCAATTTCAGCCCCATTATATCCTATGGGCCATTTAAGTCAATGGCGAAAGCATAGGGTATATTCTGGGGGCAGGAGGGGAGGGTATCTCCCCAAGATACCCACCAAGTTTCAAGAATATTGGACCAGGGGGTCCAAATCTACCGGCCCCCAAATAGGTTGCCCCTATCCCCTCCATTGTTCTCTATGGTGGGGGGGAAAGTTACATTAAAATCTGAATTGGCCCGCAGCAGCCCGAAAGGGGCCTAAATGGCCATTTTCGGACGAACCGAATGCACATCCCCTACATAGAACCATAAGAGTTAGATGGGATCCCCAGGGTCATCTAGTCCAACCCCCTACACAGTGCAGGAAATTCACAAATCCCTCTCCCCCACAACCCCAGTGACCCCTGCTCCATGACCAGAATGGCTGAGAGTTCTCAAAAATGGTGGTGGCTACAAGCCTAGGCAGCTTCAAGAGGGGATTGGATGAAGATATGCAGCAGAGGTCCACGAGTGGCTGTTAGCCACAAGGTCTAGAGGGAATACTCTGTCTGGGGCAGGGATCCTCTGTCTTCCCTGGTGCTTGGAAGGCAACAGCGGGAGGGCTTTCGGAGTTCTGGCGCCACCGGTGGACCTTCTGATGGCCCCTGGGTTTTGGCCGCCGTGTGACACAGAGCATTGGACTGGATGAACCGCTGGCCTGACCCAACATGGCTTCTCTCCCGTTCACTAAAGAGGACCTGGGCTTGCCTGTTCCCCTTTGCCTCCTCTGCTCCAAGAGCCCCCCCTCCACGGATCCTCCCACTGGTCAAGGTCTGCCTACCTGGATGGAGGTGAAGATCCGGGCCAGGGAGCCGGCAAAGAGCATGAAGGCCGTGACAGCCGAGAGCTGCCCCGTGTGGCCGTTGTGATAGTTGGTGGCTGCCTGCAGGAGCTGTTGGGAAACGAAGAGGCTGAGCTCTTTGGGTGCCAGAAACGGCTCTCGAGGAAGCCAGCCAAGGCATGCTGGCCAGCAGGCCCCCTACCCACCCCGGCAATGGAAAAGGAATGTCTGGAGAAGGGAGCCGGTGAGTCAGGCAAGCTCCTCCCCTGCCCCAAATTTTGTCTGTCTTTAAGGTGCTCCTAGACTCTGGCTCTTTCCCACTGCGGCCACTAGAGTCCAAATCCCGTGATTAAATTCACCCCAGAGAACACCCTGAAAAGGGCTGACCTCTCCTGCTACAGCAGCCTTGGCAGGCACAGAGGCAGGAAAGCCCACCAGAAGGCTCCACGGTGGCCCGAGACTTGGAATTCCTGGCTGTAGCTCAGCGAAAGTCAGGCAGCTGGCGACTCCAGACAGGGCAGCGATGCCAGGGCAGCAGCCCCGGCCCTCAGGGCCTCTCCTGGACAAGCAGAACCGAAATGGGTGGGTGCTTACCCTGCTTATGACAACAGCAGGCATGTTGGAAGCCTGCAGCACGGTAACGACAGACATCGGGCTGAGAGGAGACAGCAGGAAGGAGAGGGCTCCAAAATAGAGGAAGAGGAAGGACAGGCCTGCGGGAGGAAACGGGAGGCATCACACACGTCCTGCCATCCCCCGGAAGAGTCTGTGGGTCCCTCAGCCCCCACTTCCTGGGAGCCACAGAACCGTTGCATCATGGGAAACGATGCGCTAGGCCCATGGGAGTCAACTCCCTTTCTTGCCTTCCTGTTCCCAGCACAAGAGGAAGCGACAGCCAGAACTTGAGCAGCTTCACTGCCTTGTGTGGACGTGCGGGAAATCATTCCTAGAGTTCGGAGTTCTTCAAGGCTTCTAGTCCCCATGGTTACAAGACAAACTTAAAAACACAGGAACAAAGTTTGAGTCCAGGGGCACACCTTTCAGTTTGGTGTAGTGGTTAAGTGTGCGGACTCTAATCTGGGAGAGCCGGGTTTGATTCCCCACACCTCCACTCGCACCTGCTCATGTGACCTTGGGTCAGTCACAAGCTCTGGCACAGCTGTCCTTGAAAAAGAGCAGTTTGTGTCAGAGCTCTCTCAGCCCCACCCCCCTCCCAGGGTGTCTGTTGTGGGGAGGGGAAGGGAAAGGAGTTTGCAAGCCGCTCTGAGACTCCAAGTGAAGGGCAGGGTATAAATCCAATCTCTTCTTCTTCTTCTTCTTTCAGACCAACAAAGTTTGATTCTGGGTAGAAGCTTTTCATGTGCATGCGAAGTGTGCATACACGTGAAAGCTGATTCCCAGAATTAATAAGCTTTGTCGGTCTGAAAAGGTGCCACTGGACTAAAACTTTGTAAAAAAAAAAAAACATGGGGAAAACTTTAGGCAAAACTTCAGCCACCAAAAAGAAGAAACGGAGCAGGTCCCCACCAGAGTCTCGGGTTGGGCACTGCCGGCCCCACCTCAGAGAGTCTTGTCCCATCCCCCTGGCTGTTCTCATATGTCATGAATGGCAGGCCTCCTTCAAGGTGGCGGGGGGGGGGAGGGAGGAAGAGATCTGGGGTCTGTTATTTTGGTTTCTAACTGAAAATGTTAAGTCCTTCTTACCCAACTGAACGCAGATTTCCAGAGAACAGCAAGGAGAGATAAGGAGGCCTTCCTGAATGAACAGTGCAAAGTAATAGAAGAAAACAATAGAATGGGAAGGACTAGAGATCTCTTCAAGAAAATTGGAGAAATCAAGGGAGCGTTCCATGCAAAGCTGGCCATGATAAAGGACAAAAACGGTAGGGACCTAACAGAAGCAGAAGAGATTAGGAAAAGATGGCAAGAATACACAGAAGAACTATACAAGAAAGACCTCGATGTCCTTGACAACCACGACGGTATAATCACTGACCTCGAGCCAGACATCCTGGAATGTGAAGTTAAATGGGCCTTAGAAAGCATTGCTAACAACAAAGCTAGTGGAGGTGATGGTATTCCAGCTGAGCTATTCAAAGTCTTAGAAGATGATGCTGTTAAAGTTCTGCACTCCATTTGCCAGCAAATTTGGAAAACGCAACAGTGGCCACAGGATTGGAAAAGGTCAGTATACATTCCAATCCCAAAGAAGGGCAATGCCAAGGAATGTTCAAACTATCGCACAATTGCACTCATATCACACGCTAGCAAGGTCATGCTCAAGATCCTACAAGCTAGGCTTCAACAGTACGTGGATAGAGAACTACCAGAAGTACAAGCTGGGTTTCGAAGAGGTAGAGGAACTAGAGATCAAATTGCCAACATTCGCTGGATTATGGAGAAAGCAAGAGAGTACCAGAAAAATATCTACTTCTGCTTCATTGACTATGCTAAAGCTTTTGACTGTGTGGATCACAACAAACTATGGCAGGTCCTTAAAGAGATGGGAGTACCAGACCACCTCACATGTCTCTTGAGAAACCTGTATAAGGGCCAAGAAGCGACAGTTAGAACCGGATATGGAACAACTGATTGGTTCAGCATAGGAAAAGGAGTACGACAAGGATGTATATTGTCGCCTTGCTTATTTAATATATATGCAGAGTACATCATGCGAAATGCTGGCCTGGATGAATCACAAGCGGGAATTAAGATTGCTGGGGAAAAGATCAACAACCTCAGATATGCAGATGATACCACTCTAATGGCTGAAAGTGAAAAGGATCTAAAGAGCCTCTTGCTCAGAGTAAAAGAGGAGAGCGCAAAAGTGGGCTTGAAGCTCAACATCAAAAAAACTAAGATCATGGCATCCGGCCCCATCACTCCTTGGCAAATAGAAGGGGAAGCTGTGGAAGTAGTGACAGACTTCACGTTCCTGGGATCCCAGATCACCGCAGACTGTGACTGCAGCCATGAAATTAAAAGACGCCTGCTCCTTGGGAGGAAAGCGATGGCGAACCTAAACAGCATGATAAAAAGTAGAGACATCACCCTGCCAACAAAAGTCCGCATGGTCAAAGCAATGGTATTCCCAGTAGTCATGTATGGCTGTGAGAGTTGGACTATAAGGAAGGCCGAGCGCCGAAGAATAGATTCTTTTGAACTATGGTGCTGGAGAAGACTCTTGAGAGTCCCTTGGACTGCAAGAAGAACAAATCAGTCAATCCTCAAAGAAATCAACCCTGACTGTTCCCTGGAAGGCCAGATAATGAAACTGAAGCTCAAATACTTTGGCCACCAAATGAGAAGGGAGCACTCACTGGAAAAGACCCTGATGCTGGGAAAGATTGAAGGTCAAAGAAGACGGGGACGGCAAAGGATGAGATGGTTAGACAGTGTCATCGATGCAACGAACATGAAATTGAGTCAACTTCGGAGGACGGCGGAAGACAGGAGAGCCTGGCGGGAGATTGTCCATGGGGTCGCGAAGAGTCGGACTCGACTGTGCGACT